TATCACTTATGTGTTGTAGCTAAAGTAATCAATCTCATAGAAACAGAAAGTGGAATGGTGGTTGCCAGGGACTGGGGGAGGGAGAAATGAAGAATTGTTGTTCAGTGGATATAGAGTTTGACCCATGCAATGTGAAAAAGTTCTAGATATCTGTTGCAAACCAATGTGCATACAATTTACAATAGTGTACTGTACATCTAAAAACTGTTGAGGGTAAAAAAATCTACTGGCTAATAAAATCCAAGCCTGGAACACCATACTTTGCCCTACAATACTCTCTCTTATTAGATTAGCAGAGGAAAAGATCCATAAACATCACAAAAGCAAAGAAAGGCAGGAAGCCCTCAAGCGATGGTCAGATGAAGTGGGCTGGGTTTAACAGCTATTTCTTTCTACATCTGGAACTTTAGCTTTAAAAAGTGTTAATAAAATTGTAAAGTATAAAAACTCATTATATTTCTATGCACTAAGAACAATCAAGAAATTTTAAAATTATGCAATTTACATCAGCATCAAAAAATCAAATATCCAAGAAGGAATCTAATGAAAGATGTACTAGACTTTTTTTTTTTTTTTCAGATGGAGTCTTGCTCTGTCACCCAGGCTGGAGTGTAGTGGTGCAATATCTGCTCACTGCAACCTCCGCCTCCCAGGGTTCAAGCAATTCTCCTGCCTCAGCCTCCCAAGTAGCTGGGATTACAAGCATGCACCATCACGCCCAGCTAATTTTTGTATTTTTAGTAGAGAAGGGGTTTCACCACGTTGTCCAGGCTGGTCTCGAACTCCTGGGATCAAGTGATCCACCCACATTGGCATCCCAAAGTTCTGGGATTACAAGTATAAGCCACTGCACCTGGCTGATGTACAAGACTTCTACACAGAAAGCTACAAGACATGACTAAGAAAAATTAAAGAAAATATAAATAAGTGGAGGTACATACTATGTTCATGGGTTGGAAAATTTAATATTTTAAGGATGCTAGTTCCCTCCAAATTGAACTAAAATTTTAATAAAATCCAAAATTTCAAAGAAAAAATATCCCCAGCAAGATTTTCTTTGGTGGAAATTGGTGAGGTAGTTCTAAAATTTATATAAAAATGCAAAGGACTGAAAATAGTTTAGAAAATTTTGAAGAAGAATGTCAAGATTTATTAAGTAATTTAGTAAGTATGGCATTGTTGCAAGGAAAAACAAACTAACCAATAGAAAAGAATAGAAACAATAGGGATAAAGTCATGTATTCAACCACTTGATTTTCAGTAATTCACCAGTGCAAGGCAGTAGAGAGAAAACATGACATTTTTCTTAAATGATGGTATATTAATTGAATATTGATATGGAAAAAATAAACCTTGACCCCTGACTTACACCATATAGAAAAATAACTACAGATAGACTGCAGACCTAAATTGGAAGGTAAAACAATAAATTATCTAGAAAAAAACATAGGATAATATTTTTATCACCTTATTGCAGGCAACACTTCTTAAGAACACATTGAAAGCTCTGGGCATAAAGAAAGACTGATAAACTTCATTAAAATTAAGAATTTTTGTTGCTCCAAAGTTTCCATTAAGAAAATGAAAAAGAAACTGAAAGGGGAAGAGGGAAAGAGTTTATATATATATATATATATATATATATAATATTTATTATAAATTTACATATATATGTAAATTTATAATATAATATAAATTTATTAATTATACATTTACATATATAAATTTGTAATAAAATATATACAATTTTTTACTTATAAAAATAAATCTATAAATATTATATATATATATACACACACACACACACACACACACACACACACACACACGTAGAGAGAGAGATAAACACAAACATTCTGGCAAGAGTGTAAATTGACACAACCGCTATAGAAAACTTCTGCTGAGCAGAGACTCAACATTTCTGTTTCCAAGTTATATAACCAAAGAGAAATGCAACCATATGTGCACAAGCAGACATGTACCAGCCTGTTCATAGCAGCATTATTTACAACCTCCCCACACTGGAAAGAACCCAAGTTCTTGGTTTCCCTGTATCTTTTTTCTGTCACATGATTGAGTAATGGGGTCTGTCTAGTTCCTCAAGTCAGCCATTCTCTCCAAGGTGACCCAGGTGGGGACACGGGGCTGAAAGTGAAAGGTGGGGAGTGAGGTAAAAGTAAAATGACCCTGTTTCCCATAGGGATCACAAAGAAATGAAGCGGGTGAAGAGGGACTCCCCAGAAGTGCCAGGAACAGGAGCCAACAGGTCACCAGAAGAGGAAGTGTTAAGGCGGAGGGACTTCCCGAGGGGGAACACAGAAGAAAGAATGCCTAAGGTTATCCCGGGTCTGCAAGGACTTCTGCCTACCTGCTCTCCTGCTGGTCCTCCTCTCTGACCTTCCTGCTACAGCTATAGAGCTGTGATTCCTCCAACTCCATTCTCACTCCAAACATGTCATTCCGTGGCTCTCTGTTGTCCACAAGAGAAAACTCCAAATTCCTTGTCTGGTATTCAAGGCATTTCGGGATCTAGCTCCCAGTATTCATCCTGGGCTTCAGGCTCACCAGACCACTGACAGCCTCACCAACATGACCCATTCACTTAGCTTCTACACCTGTGCACATGCTGTTTTAGCCACTGGAACTCTCTGCCCTTTTTGGCTGTCAGCCTCCTACTCAGTCTTCAAAATTCCATTCAAGTGGCAGCTCCTCTGTCAATCTTTGACCTCTCCAAAGAGCATGAGTCACTCCTTCCCCTGGGGTCCACCCTCCGCATAGCACATAGCTCACGGTGTTTTCATCTACATTCTGGGCACCATCTAGGCAGGAACAGTATGTCTCTTGGTTACCACTGAATCCCCAGTGACTAACCAGTGTCTAACACACAGTGGGTGCTCAAAACATTTGCTACATGAGTGGCTAAATGGAAGAAAATGCTTTCTGTGGGAATGACTTGTGAACAAACATTATCCTCAGTGTTAAAACCTATGTAGACTTGTAGACTGTACAATCCTAGGTTAAATCTTACCCTTTTTGACCCCTTTTTCTGGAGTTCAGGGGATTGAGAGCCTTAGGTATTTGGTGAGGATAAAAGTTTTGTTGTTGTTGTGTTTTTTGTTGTTGTGTTTTTTGTCTTTGTTTTTGTTTTCTGAGATGGGGTCTTGTTCTGTTGCACAGACTAGAGTGTCGTGATGCGATCTCAGCTCACTGCAACCTCCACCTCCTAGGTTCAAGTGAGTCTCCTGCCTTAGCCTCCCATATAACTGGGATTACAGGCATGGGACACCACACCTGGCTAATTTTGTATTTTTAGTAGAGACAGGGTTTCACCATGTTGCTCAGGCTGGTCTCGAACTCCTGACCTAGGTGATCCACCTGCCTTGGCCTCTCAAAATGCTGGAATTACAGGTGTGAGGCAGCGCTCCCGGCCGAGGATAAAAGTTTTAATGCTTCAGCCTTTTTTCCTATGTCAGGGCCTTTGTCCATGCCATTCTCTGTGCCTAGAATGCTTTTCCCCAGCCTCCTTTCTCATCCTCAGGTTTCAGGTTCGGTGCTGCCTCTCCAAAGAGGCCATCCCCCCTGTCTGAACTGGGTCTACGCCACAGATCTCTGTACCCACACCCCCTAGTTTGTCTCCTTCATAGCAAGTGTAATATGAGGAATAGTTTTGTAAATGTCTCTGTGTATGTGTTTATAATTTGTTTCTGTACTGAAGCATAAGCTCCCAGAGGTTGGGTAATTGACCTGTTTTGTTCAGCACAGTAACCCTAGTGCAGAGAAAGGGACCTGGAACACAGTAGGTGCTCAATAAGTAGCTGAAGAACAATGGTGAATGAATGAATGAAAATGAATGAATGAATGAATGAATGAATGGGGCTAAGGATGAGGCAGCCCTGGGGGTCCTGATTTCCTCATCAGCTTCCTCACTGTCTGTAGGAACTCCCCCACAACCCCACCTCAGGCAACACCCTCCGTTCCAGGAGTGTGAATAATCACGACTAATGTCATCAGATTAGTAAAAAGGAACTTTCAAAGAAGGACAGTGGGCTGCCCAGGGTCACACAGCGAGCTCTCATCTCAGTGAGTTCTCAGGCTGGGGAAGAACCAGCCAGGTGCTCCTGGATCAGAAAGGAGACTCTGTCACTCACTCACAGTGGGAACTGGGCTGTATCTCTGCCTTTCTCTGAGCCTCAGCTTTCCTCATCTGTGGAATGGGGGCAGCAGGCTTAGCCTGGCTGGGAAGTGTGAGGCAGGGAAGCATGGCTAGTGTTAGGGGTGTGGTTAGGGTTAGTTGCTTTCATCTTTTTTTTTTTTCCCAATGGCAAGGGGTGGGTTATGGGTGTCTGAAGACAGGTATGTTGGGGACCTCAGGTTTACAGCTTAATCAGTAGAAGCTGAAGGTGAGAGGAAGGGCCTTCTGTTCCCCAGCTCGTGCAACCTGAGGCTGTGCGACCTCTCAGCCTCTCTCTCCTAGCCAGGCAGTAAATATTAGCTCCAGCGATCTTTCCCTCCTGGCACCTCTTCCAGCCTGTGTAACCTCTCCTAGCTGAGGAGCACGAAATCCCAGCCCCTGCAGTCCCCGCTCCCCACCCCCGCTGCCTGTGCAACCTTGATCTCTCTGCAGGCCCTGTCATCCCGTGCAGCCTTGCCCAAACCTTGCAACCTCTCAGCCTCTGCAGCCAGATCTCACTCCAGCTCCCTTTCCTCCAGCCCCTCCTGTAGAGCAGTGGAAGGGGGCTTTCAAGTGTGACAGCTAGAGGCCATGAGGTGGGGACGGGGCTGGCCACCCACCCTCTCTCACCCCTCAGTTCCCAGCAGCCCCGTCTGCCTGCCCTGGCCCTGGCCATAAAGGACTGGTGTTACTGATTCATTCTGGGGAAAGTTGGCAAGCCCACTTGGCAGATGAGGAAAAGAAGGCCCAGAAAGGCACAGGGCCTTGTCGTGTTCACACAGCGAGCGACAGCCCAGGCCTGAGCTGGGAGCTGGGTTGGGGCACTTACCCCACTTCCCTGGGGACAGTGGGCGCCCCTGAGGGGCGGAGGTGGCCAGATCCTTCCTGGGGGCTGCAGAGACCAGCAGGCTGGGTTCCAGACACAGATGTCCTGGGCAGTCGGGGGCCCTCCATGGGGCCCCTGACCCCCAGCCTGGGGAATATTCTCAGGTCGTCACAGAAGTTCCAGATTTACTCAGAGGTCTCATTTTAGCTGTCATGAAAAGTCCCTTTGGCCTGGGGCCAGGGCAGGGAGTGGGGGTGGTGGCACCTGCGAGCCAGGGGTGGGGGTGGGTTCCTCCCAATGCCCCTCCCCCTCCCCCTCACTTGTCCCGGGGCTCTGGAGGACAAGTAAGGAGGGCATGTGAGGAAGGGGAGCGAGGGCGAGAAGACCCTCTTTCTGGAGGAAGCACCTGTTCCTCTCTCTTCACTACTTCCTTCTAGATGGTTCCCTGAGTGACCCTAGAAAATCCCCACCCCGCTCTGAACCTCAGTTTCCCCATCTGTAAAAGGGGAAAGCAGAATCATCACAAGAGCTCTCATTTATTGAGGTCTGGTATATGCCAATATGACGAATATTTATGATTTTTATTTTGTTAACTGTATTTTCGCAGCTAAAAGCAAAGGGCTTTTAAATATTTAAAGTAAAACATAGGACCGTAACAGTGGCTCATGCCTGTAATCCCAGCACTTTGGGACGATGAGGTGGGCAAATCACTTGATCCCAGGAGTTCGAGACCAGCCTGGCCAACATGGTGAAACCCCATCTCTACTAAAAATGCAAAAATTAGCCTGGTGTGGTGGTGTGTGCCTGTAGTCCCAGCTACTCTGGAGGCTGAGGCAGGAGAATCGCTTGAATCTGGGGGGTGGAGGCTGCAGTGAGCCGAGATCAGGCCACCCTACTTCAGCCTGAGTGATACAGCGAGACTCTGTCTCAAAAACTTTTTTTGAAAAAGTAAAACATAATAGCAGCCCTTTCTCATGAGCCGTCTGTGCCCAGCTCTTTTGCCTTTGTCATCACGCTGGCTTTTTCTCTCTGTGCACCCCGGAGCTTCAGGACCTAGGGAGGTGCCGGGACCATGGCAGACATTCAATAAGAACAGGCCGATGAAGACCTGTGCCTGTCCCCACGGAAACAGACCTAAGACAGTCATCCTTACTCCTAGTCCCACTCTTACAGGTACAGCAGCTGAGCTTCAGAGAGGGCAAGCGGCTTCCTCAAGGTCACACAGGTACTCAGTGGTGGAGCTGGGACTTGAACCCAGCTCTGACCAGTTCTACAGCTCAATGTCACAAGGGGTGGTGCGCTTGGAAGCCAGGTCCAGTGCCCCCACCTGACCATGGGGACCCCTTCCCTGTTGTGTAGAGAAGGGCCCTGCGTCTGCCTGTGAGGATGCTGAAGGCGCTAGCTCCCCTCTCTGGCTGTGGAAGGAACGGATACCCCTCCTTTCTTTCATTCATTTATTTATCAGGCACCCAGGTGGTCCTGATGCTGCGAAGAAGTAGGTTCTTCCCAGAGCTTCTGGTGACCGGCTTTTTCTTGAATGGGCCTCCTCCTTCGGCATCCACCCCCAACTCTACTGCCCACAAGCCCCTACCGGCTCTAATCCCCACCTCCCTGCTCCTTCTCCTGGCCTGAAGCCAGCATCGCCGGGCAGCAGGGAGCCTGCAGTCTGAGCTCAGGGCCGTCTTCGCCTTGCTCTCCCACCTCTCCTGGGCCTGGATTCCGGCCACCTCCTATCACAAGGGCCCTTAGCTACCTCCACTGCGGGACTGCATAAGGATCCCGACAGCCTGCTGGCAGGGGAGTGGGCAAGACAGGGGGATCACAGAACCCATGGTGGGGAGTGGGGGAGGAGGACCTCTCCTCTGGGGGCTGCCCGTCCCGTGGGAATGAATGCCCAGCCATCCCCATCCAATGCTGCTTCTCAGAAGCCACCCAGAACCAGGAGTCTTGTTTACATGCTATTCTGTCTAGCAGGTGGTGACCTTGTTGTCCTACAGACTGGCGTCCAATCCCAGCTTCGTGTCATCCGGTCACAGCTAACCTCACTCTCCTCATCTGTGAAATGGGCTGAATGACGCCACCCACTTCACCTGGTGAGGACTATGGGAGACCCTTAAGTGCCTACAACGTGGTGAGTTGGCACTGGGGGGGGGGGACAAGAACCAGGTGGCTGGGGTAGGCGGGACCACAGCAACCTGAGGGTGTCCCTCAATCTGTCACTCTTGGAGTCTGGCCCTTCTCCATGGGCTCAAGGCTTCTCATGCCAAAAACTCCCTTCCACAAAGGGAAAGGGCCAACTGGGAGCGCAGCTCTCACCCTGTTCTGCCCTGAAGACCACACAGCCAGCCCCACAAGGGTGGAGCTACCTTGGTCCCCATTTCACAGGTGAGAAAACCAAGCCTTCTTGAGGCTAGAAGCAGAGAGACTTGCCCAACTTCGCTGAGCGAGGAAGGCGCGTGGCCTGGTTGTGACCCGGCAGGTTTTCCCCCATTCCACCATGTGCTTCTGAAAGTCCCACTCTCCCCCCAGGGAGGCACAGATGTCCTCCTCACAGCAGCCTCCTGGTTTTGAAGCCTCCACACCTGGCCTTCTGCCTTCACTGAGCAGAGACATCATTCCTGCGGCAAGTCCCAAGTTCCCACTCCCCAGGGCTCCTCCACCAGGAATGTTTCCTCCTTTCCCATCCTTCAGGGCTCAGCCTCCACTGACCTCCCCACTCCCCTCTCCTCCACATGCACACTGGGTTAGCCTCTTACCATCTGATCCATTCCCCATGCTTCATGAGAAAGATCCAGTGACAGCTCATGGGGTTACCTGGTTTAACTGCCCACCCTGCTACAGCCCGGTTGAGTCCCCGAGGGAAAGTCACTGTACCTCTCGCAGCCTCATTTGCTCATCTGTGAAATGGGCACACCAGCCCTTGTTTTGAAGGATTGGGTGGAATCAAGATGGTAAAACACAGAACCTGGCACAGAATGGGTCCCATCAGGCTCTGCACCCATGCCCATCACCACCCGACTCAGCTGCCCAGAATCAGGTGATTGACACATTATGTTTGGCCTGAAACTGGCTCTCCTTCCAGGACCCCCTGCCTTTTGGAGGCCAGTTTTCAAGGCAGGGGGTCATCTCAGCCACACCCCTGTTGCTGGGTCCCCGGGGAATCCTAAGCTGTGCTGAACAAGAGACCCCAGCCTCAATTCTGCCCAGCCTCACTGCATGAACTTTCTTTGCTTCAGCGTCCCCAATTGTGCCTTGGGCACGTCCTCTGAGGCCTCCCACTGTGACGCCAGATGCAGCAGGCAGGGAACAGTCCCTCCTGGGCAGAGAAGGCACCCTGGTCCCAGCGGAGAACCAGGGCTGGAGTTACCTTCTGTTTCAGCTTCCTTCTCACAAGTCCATTCCGTGTGCTGGGGGCAATCTGATGGACTTCTGGGGGAGGCAGCTGGGTTCAGCGTAGGGGTGACAGATGAGGGTCTGAGAAAGAAGGCAGGGGCCGGGGGTGAGAATCCACACCCAGCCCGAGTCACCAATCAGGCTGTCATAAGACCTGTCGCTCCGATGACGGGCAGCTGGGCCTCCAAGCAGGTGTCCCACAGAGCAGTAGAAAGAGGAAGGGGACGGGAGGCGGGTACCAGGCGGCCTCGGCAGGGATGCGCGACGCGGCTGCGTGACTGTCAGCCACGCTCAGGGAGAGGCAGGCAGATGGTCAGCCGCCGAACTTACGGTCACTCAGCAGAGAGACGCCAGCGGGTCTGTCCGAGGCCGCTGGCTGCCACCCAGCCGCGTGTGCAGAGGGGAGGAAGGGGAGGATGTGGTGAGCCGCTCTCCGCCGGCCCCGCCCACCCCGCCCACCCGCAGCTGGGCCCTCGGGGAGGGAGTGAGAAGGAGATGAGGGGGGCCTGGCCCCACAGCAGGCACCCGCTGTCACCAAAGGTCACCTGCAAAGAAGACATTTGGGGCCATCGGGTGACACTTGCCTCTTGGGGAGCTGTGATCTCATCCCCCCAGGCCTCTCCGTCATGACTCACGAGGCAGGCAGAGCGGCCTGGAGCCACCACAGAGCGCAGATGTGGAAACCGAGACCAGAGGCGTGAAGTGGTGGCACAGTTTGGCCCGTGGGCCCAGAGTCCTCAGTGGCCGAATCCAAGCCCGCAGCAGAGAGAAGGACCAGAGCCTTGCCCAAGGTCCCACGGAAGTCCTTTTCCAGACTTTGCAAACCAGTCTATTTCTCATTCCCGAGCCCCTTCTGCCTAGTTGTGGGCCGAGCTTGGGACCTTCTGCTCTCGCTTGAGCCCCATCCCTCTCTGCCTCCATTTCCTTTGGATCCAGCCTCCTGCTGCAGAGCTCCAGGGAGCGAGACCCCTTGGACACGTCACATCACCTCACTTTGCCCATCTGTCAAATGGGAGTGCCTAGCTGTGAAGAAGAAGGCAGTCATTAACCCTTGGAAACTCAAGAAGAAAATAGAGAAAAGAAATTCTCAAGAGTGTTTTCATCTTGCTAACATGCCAGAAGCCCACGAGAGGGTCGGATGTTTCTGGAAGACATTTAAGAAACCAGGGGACAAAATTTAACAAGCTCAATTCCTAGCAGTTCCAAAAGAAAGAGAGCAAGACAACTGCTCCCACCACTGCTCCCTCTGCCATCACCACCGCCCTGAATTACTTTGGTGCCTACATGATCTCACCTTATCCCACAAAGTGTGGGGCAGACAAAAGTCGTCCCATTTTACAGATGGAGAGACTGAGGCCCAGAGGAGTGAGACATCACACAAGCCAAGAATTAGAGCTGGGATTTGCACCTGGGTGTAATTGATTCCTAAGCTCATATCAAGCTGTGAAAATAGTGCCATGCCAGGATGAAATGTCCCACGGTGGGGGGAGGCTATTTTGTGCTGTTTTGATAACAAAGTCACCTTGTTGAGAGCAAATTCTGACAAGTGTGATGTATCATACTGTTTGCTGAGAGCAGCAGCAAGGAAAACCTAGTCAGCCCCCCAAAGCAGAAAATTGCTCAGAGCGTTATAAAAGAGTAACCAATATGAATATGTCTCACAGCAGATGAATTAGTTCTTTGAACACAGGATATGTGACTCTTTCCTTTGTTCCCTCCTAAAGAGTGCTTTCTAGTTTATCTTTAGCCTATAGTGAACATGCACTAGCTGCCTGGTTAGTTTACCTTTAACCAATGAAGAACACGGAGCTTCTGCTTGTAAAACTTGTCACCGTAAAGTAAAGAATAAATACAGGGGTCAGAGTGTGTTTTGGGCTCTCAGCTGGGAATGCTGTGAGACCCCTGATCGCCCACCTTTTACTTTCTGTCTCTGCGTCTGTTTCTTAATTCCTTCAGTGCCGCCTGGGCTGGGGTCTCCGTGGCTGAGCTGGTCTTGGCATCAGCTCAGATGCGCTTGGTAGCTCTCCCAGCTGACTCATTTTTGGGAATTAACTTGCTGCTGACCTTCATGACCACGCCAGAGAAAAAAGAGAAAGCGTCTTGCTATTCTTTATTTTTTTTTTTTTCTAGCTGTATTTGAGGAACTTGGTACAAATTCCCCTGGGGTTGATTCAAAGGATCCTGGCCCTGTAGAGCTTCTCTTCCCAGTCACCAAAATATTTCGTGTTCTCTGGAGAACGAATCTTGGGAAGACGCCAGCTTTTGTTTTTCTTTCTCTTGATCTTCAGGGTGAATTCTCTGATAACATGCACTGAAATCTGTGGTGGTTGAAAGATAAGGAGAAGAGATAGGGAAAAAGAGCTGATATTTGCTGAAAGCTCGCCATGTGCCAGGGCTTAAAGGACTTTAAAGATGCATCTTCTCATCTAAACCTCAGAAATACTCAAGAAGGCTGTGTGCAGTGGCGCACACTTATAATTCCAGCATTTTGAGAGGCTGAGGTGGGAGGATTGCTTGAGGCTAGGGGTTCAAGACCAGTCTGGGCAACAAAGCAAGACCCTGTCTCTACAAAAAAAAATTTAAAAACTAAACAGTCATGGTGGTGCATGCCTGTAGTCCCAGCTACTCTGGAGGCTGAGGTGGGAAGATCACTTGAGCCAAGGAGTTTGAGGCTGCAGTGAGCTATGACCGCAGTGCTGTACTCTAGCCTGGGCAACAGAGCAAGACCCTGTCTCCAAAAATAAAATCCTCAAAATGAAAAAGAATGAGTCCAGAAGATAGCTATCATCATCATCATTGTCCCTGTTTTACAGATAAGGAAACTGAGGCTCAGAGAGGTTAAGTGACTTGACCAAGGTCACACAGCTGATGAGTGGCAGAGCTGGGATCTGAACGCAGTCATTTGGGCTCCAGAGCCCACACTCTTGTTAACTTGCTACACTGTTCCTGGGTGTGTATTAAAACAAGGATATTTGCCGGGCGCGGTGGCTCAAGCCTGTAATCCCAGCACTTTGGGAGGCCGAGGTGGGTGGATCACGAGGTCAAGAGATCGAGACCATCCTGGTCAACATGGTGAAACCCCGTCTCTACTAAAAATACAAAAAATTAGTTGGGCATGGTGGTGCGTGCCTGTAATCCCAGCTACTCAGGAGGCTGAGGCAGGAGAATTGCCTGAACCCAGGAGGTGGAGGTTGCGGTGACCCGAGATCGCGCCATTGCACTCCAGCCTGGGTAACAAGAGCAAGACTCCGTCTCAAAAAAAAAAAAAAACAAGGATATTTAATTTCTCCTCCTTCCCTGCTGCCTGCCTTCCTTCCTTACCTACCTGCTCTCTACTGGCCCACCTACCTATTCACCTACTCATTCTTCTCTGCACCCACCCAGATATTTCTTGCTTCATCCCCCTAATATTTATTGAGGAGACTCAGAGGGGTTAAGTAACTTGTCCAAGGTCACACAGCTTAGTTACGTCTTAGGGATAGCCCACAGAAATATACACACAGTGACAGCCCCCATGGGGGCCTATATTCTAGTAGGGAGAGACAGACAAAAAGAAGTAACAGACAAACTCAGGGCAAACTGTACTAAATGTCATAGGAAACCAATGAGACATCAAGGTTGTGACATTTGGGGGTAGACTAGGTGACAAGAAGGGACCAGCCATGGGGAGAACCTTTCAGGCAGAAGGATCCGTAAGTGCAAAGGCACTGAGGTAGGAAAGGATGTGGCTAGCTCCAGGAGCTCGAGAACAGCATGGTGGAATACAGTGAGCAAATGCGCAAACAGTAGAAGGTGAAGGCGTGGAAATCACACGTCTATGCCGCATGGGACCTCACAGATCAGGGTGAGAAAGTTCGATTGTTCCAAAGGAAATGGGAAGTCATCACTGGAGGGTTTCATCTTAGGAGTGGCTTAATCCAGTTTACATTTTCAACTCAGGCCAGGAGTTGGGGAGTGGGTGGGATCAGTAGGGGTCACAGTCCCTTGGTGCTTAAAAAGTAGATGCAATTTGGAGCTCAACATTTACCAACTGCCAGACACATGTCCATTGGGGTGAACATGAGTCCCCTCAAAAATAGATGTGTGGTCCCTTGAGGGGTCCTCTGGGTCTGTAAACGTCTCATAAACAGGGCCCCTGTACCCTGGGAGGAGGGTGCAATAGAATCTCAGTGGCACTCCCACCATGCCTCAGTACTCATAGCTGGTCAGTGGAGGAAGCGGTCACATTTGCATTTCAGCCAAGGGGCCTCCTGGGAGAAAATAATTGACACACCCCCCTCCCTCAACCCGTTTCCTCTTTTTTATTTTTAAGAGCTTTATTTAGCTATACTTAACATAAACTTGAGCGACCGTAAGGGTACAGTCCAGTGATTTTTAGTGAACTTATTGAATTGCCTGAACCTGGGAAGTGGAGGTTGCAGTGAGCAGAGACAGTGCCACTGCACTCCAGCCTGGGAGACAGAGCCAGACTCCGTCTCAAAAAATCAATCAATACATGAATATATAAATAAATTTAAATAAATAAATAATAAAGATTCATTTTTATTGCTGAAGCATGTTACGTCGCCTAGATATGCCACATCATTTATCCTTTCATGAGACGATAGACATTTGGCGTATGTCCACTTTTTCCTTTATGACGAGCAAGCATGCTATGAACGCTTGCATATAAGTCTTTGTGTAGACATGGGTTTTCAAATCTTTTGGATGTATTCCCAGGAGTAAACTTCTTGGGTTATATGGTAATTCTCAGTTTAACTTACTAAGGAACTGACAAACTGCTTTTCACAGCGACTGCACTGTATTACATTCCCAGTAGAAAGAGAGAAATATAGGAAGGTTCCCATTTCTCTCCGTCCCCGATAACATGCATTTTCTGTTGGTTTTCATTATAGCCATCGTAGCGGATGTGAAGTGGTGGCTCATTGTGGTTTTGATTTGCATTTTCCTCATGGCTAATGATGTTAAGCATCTCTGCATGTGCTTGGTAGTCATTTGTATATCTTCTTTGGAGGAATGTCTATTCAAGTCCCTCACCAAATTTTATTTTATTTTATTTTTGACACGGAGTCTTCTCTGTCTCCCAGACTGGAGTGCAGTGGTGCGATCTCGGCTCATTGAAACTTCTACCTCCTGGGTTTAGGTGATTCTTGTGCCTCAGCCTCGAGTAGCTGGGATTACAGGCGTATGCCACCACACCCAGCTAATTTTTGTGTTTTTAGTAGAGACGGGTTTTCACCATGTTGGCTAGGCTGGTCTCGAACTCTTGAGCTCAGGTGATGCACCTGCCTCAGCCTCCCAAAGTGCTGGGATTACAGGTGTGAGCCACCGTGCCTGGCCCCTTGCCAATTTTTAAATTGGATTGCTCATCATTTTTTGTTGAGTTGTAAGAGTTCTTTATTTA